GGGGGGGGGGGGGGGAAATAACTGTACCAATAGCACTAAAATTAAAACTAATTATTTTGGGGAAAAGAATCTGATTAGGAGACAGAAAGTTGAAAGAAACAATAGCTAAAGCTCTGGGTGGGGTGGACAATTGTACAGGGAAACCAAGGCTATCTGACTTCCTCTGGAAATCTTCAGTTCTTCTTAAATTACCTGAAGACAGCAACTAAGGCACTGCAATACTTGTGCAACAAGGGTAAATGCTTAAAGGAGACACACTGAAAAAAGGGGAAAAGGAGACACCAACTGAAAGACAATCTGGAGGACATCTGCTGCGTAGAAAAGAAAATGTAGTATACACTTCAGAAGCTCCTGGAAGTATTGCTTTATTACAGAATCATATTCACAGAGATAACAAGCAATCCACAAAGCGGGGGCGGGCTAGGCAGAGAGGAGACACGGTCAATATACTTTTATTAAGCACAAAAATGCGTAAGATGATATTTCCCCAACTTTTGTCATTCACATTCCACTTTCACAGCCTGCTATTATATCTGCATATCCTATTATTTACTTATATTTTTTAAGTTAGCTTACAAAATTATATACATCACCGAGTCCTCAAAAAACAGATAACATCTTGTCTGTATTTTACTCTTTAATTCAACAAAAGAGCTGTGTGGGATATATCTATGATTCCTGAAGAGTCTAGCTAACTTTTTAACTCTTGTAATATTAATACTCAAGGAATTAGTTCAAATTTTATACACCCTATCCTGTTTCCCCAAAATTAAACTCATCTTTAGCTTATAGTTTAAATGAGACAAGCTATAAGCCAAAATAAAAGAAATAGATCTAGCCTAACAAAAAGCCTAGAAAAGAAAACAAGGTGCAAGTATATCTCTTCTAATCAGGATGCTTTGAAAACAGCTCAATTAACACATCACTTATTACTTAATTTAACCAACTTACATGGCAAAAGCACTACTGTAAGTTACTTAAAATTAAGGTTTGGCTAAATTAACACTTCAGGGTTTCCAGGTAGTTCCATAAATGATAGACTCAACATATGAGGCGCTTAATAAAAGTGTATGACAACTATTTTATTACTACTTTATTCAAATAGAAAACTATCTTTACCACTCTTAAAAATGTGTAACGGGCCCTATAATACTTACGCTGCATAAGCTTTTGCTATCCTCATGAACACGACTTCATCACCTCCTTTATCTGGATGATACTTAAGTGACAGCAAACGATACTGTTTCTTAATTTCTGCTACTGTTGCCCCCTAAAAGAAAAGGCTTTGTTTTAGTAAAAATAAGCACAATGCTGTAAAAACACAATCCATCCCACTTTGAACTTAAAATACTGAACTACTCAATATTTTCAGAAACAGAAAATGAAGTTTTCATCCTATATATACCTTGTCCTATAAATTTCACCCACATATTTTTTAAATAAAAATATTCATTTTGTCCAAGATATTTTATTTTATTGAGCACCTAGTATGTGCCACGCAGTACCCTAGGCACCGACAATTTTAGACTGATACTATATAATGCCATTTAAATAAAATAAAATGATAGTGACATTTAAATATCAAAGAATGATCACAGTAAATTAAGTCTGGCTGAAAAAAACTCAAATCAAAGGTTAACTTCCTTTCTAAGAAAAAATCTGAAGAATTTCTGGTTTCACCTGCTTGTCAATATTTTAATGTTAAGTAAATACTTAATAAGTTTACCTTAGTTGTTCCCTAATTAGATTCAATTTCTATGAATAAATTTTTCACATTGATTTTTTTATGGCATTAAATTGCCCCCAAACCTTTTAATCTTAAAAAGTCTCTCCTGATAACCATGATCATCACAATAAGAAAACTCAAATGATATGCAAACTTTTCTTCTACAAAGCAGAAAACTAGAAGATTAACACACTCCTTACTGTGTATCATATGAGTCTCTGGATCAAGCCATCTACTGAGGAGAGACTAGAAGTAAAAAAAAAGTAGTATGGCAGAAAAAATGGAAAGGGCACTAGATTCACCTTGGTTACTAAGAAGTTATGGGACCCCAGACAAACACAAATGTTCCAGGCCTCATTTTCTCCATGAGAAAAAAAGGGTAGATGATCTCTAGCATTCATTTCAGTTCTAACTTTCCACTGATTAACTTAAAAGACCAATTTTCTACTGGGACCCATCACTTAAGTTCAATCAAGAAAGTCAGCTAACAGGTACACTCAAGATTAACCTGAATTTCTATAACAAAGACACCAACACACTGCCTTAGTTCAACTAACACAGGGTCCCATCCAACTAACATAAATAAACCTCCTGCTTCTAACTTTGCATTAAACCAACCTTAGAAATGTCTTTTAAAAATATACTAACTTCTCATCTCATCTTCAGATATTTTTACATTTTAGCAATTACAAACCAACTCTTAATAGGATGGCAATCAACATCTGTGGCTTAAAAAACATATGCTGGGGCTTCCCTGGTGGCGCAGTGGTTGAGAGTCCGCCTGCCGATGCAGGGGACACGGGTTCGTGGCCCGGTCCGGGAGGATCCCACATGCCACGGAGCGGCTGGGCCTGTGAGCCATGGCCGCTGAGCCTGCGCGTCCGGAGCCTGTGCTCCACAACGGGAGAGGCCACAACAGTGAGAGGCCCGCGTACCGCAAAGAAAAAAAAACAAAAAAAAACAACAAAAAAAAACGTATATGCATTAGAATAATAATGGATTAGGTATCTTTTTTAACTGACCAGGGTCTGATTTCTTTAGACACAGCTCAATTTCTTTTAGGCTGTGGGCCCAGAGTATTTTAAAGGGATTATATAAAATACTACTTACGGGATCCAAATTTAATACTTCATAAGGATTGTATTCTTGATATTCTCGGTCTGTTTTGGAAACTTTGTACGTAAGGAATAATAACAATGCCCATCCTGCAAGCAGAACTATTTTCCTGTTTAGAAAAAAGATAAGTGAAGTATAAATAAATACAACTATATGGTTTTCCTTTAAGATTCTAAAGACACTATGGCAAGGCATAAAACGATCTTAAGTAGTCTCATGTCACTGTGCTATTGACTCAAATTCTATAACCACTGGGTTGTAAGACACAATAAGGACAGCATCTTTTTTCACCTTTGAATTCTCTAGAATCTAGCTGTGCCTGGCATATAATATTCTCTCAGTTACTATTTGCAGAATTTTAAGTAAGAAGTTAATGTACTCATTAACTTATTGGACCCATTCCATTAGATCAAAATATATTAATACTTAGTATTCAGTTAACCATTTAATGTAAAAAAGAATTGCTCTTGACCTTGTAATTACACTTTTAGTAAGATAAACTCTGAAAAATAATGGGTCAGTTGTGCAAAGATGAATAAGTAGCCTTGCTTATAACAGTAAAAATTTGGAAACAACCTTAAATGTCCATTTATAAGGAACTAATTAAATAAACCATTTATAGGAGACTAAATAAACCAAGATATAGCCACACAACAGAACATTTTTAGCTAACAGATATAGAAAGACGTGCATAACAGGTTAAAAAAAGATATAAAAGAACATATAGTTTGAAAAAAAACTAATTTCTTTTCTCCTCAATATGTTCTATTTAGTAAAAATATTTAAAAGATTGATATTACCAGTGTTGGAGAGGCTAAGGTAAAAAGGAACTCTCATACATTCTACACTCTGAAGGAATATCTGGCAATAAGGTTATCAAAAGCCCTAAAGAAGTATATACCTTTTTAACTATCATCTAATCCACTTCAAGAAATTTAGAAGGAAATAAACTAAAATTAAGTTTATAAAGTATAAAAGGGTGGTTACAGGTATAATTCATAGCTGAAAACATACACACATAAATGTCCATCAATAGAGTACTGAACAGATAAATAACAGTACATCCATAGAGATATACTATCTAGACACTAAAAATATTTGCTGTGGAAGATTATCTACCTTGTACTGTTAAATTAGAAAAACAGCTTTCAAAGCAGTATGTATAATATAATCCTATTCTTTGTAAATAAAAGTTTATTATAAGTAAAAATATAGAAGGTAAATCATCTTTTTTTTTAACATCTTTATTGGAGTATAATTGCTTTACAATGGTGTGTTAGTTTCTGCTTTATAACAAAGTGAATCAGTTATACATATACATATGTTCCCATATCTCTTCCCTCTTGCATCTCCCTCCCTCCCACCCTCCCTATCCCACCCCTCTAGGTGGTCACAAAGGACCGAGCTGGGGCTGATCTCCCTGTGCTATGCGGCTGCTTCCCACTAGCTATCTATTTTACATTTGGTAGTGTATATATGTCCATGCCACTCTCTCGCTTTGTCACAGCTTACCCTTCCCCCTCCCCATATCCTCAAGTCCATTCTCTAGTAGGTCTGTGTCTTTATTCCTGTCTTACCCCTAGGTTCTTCATGACATTTTTTTTTTTTACTTAGATTCCATATATATGTGTTAACGTACGGTATTTGTCTTTCTCTTTCTGACTTGTTTCACTCTGAATGACAGACTCTAGGTCTATCCACCTCATTACAAATAGCTCAATTTCATTTCTTTTTA